TACGTCCTTGATCCATCCTGTATTACATAGTTTATCAACTATCCGGATGAATTGATATCGCCGTCAAAATAGCTAGAATATAAAAGAGCTTTATATTTTATTTGAAATAAAACATCATCTTAAAAATATTAATATTATCCCTTATTATCATTATTGAAGCTCTATCATCACACTTTTGTAATGGCGAACAAGAAGTACGCAAAGCTTACGGAAGATCAACAAGAGCAAGTGTACCAGCTTAAAATGCACTCGACGCGTATGACCAATGGCGAGCTTGCTAGATGGGCCAAAAACGAATTCAAGCTAGAGTTACTACCAAATGAAACGGCTATATCAAAGTTTTTGAAACGAAGACGAGAAATGAACGATAATACTTTTGAGACTCAATCACACGAAAAAAACACGCAGCTGCGAAATTTCCTGTATGTAGCATATCTGAAATACTTAATTGGTTGTTGGTACAGTAAAACAGTTTTAAATCGAAAACTTATTTGTTTGTTCTGCTAGGATGTCGAAGAAGCTACATATATGTGGATTATCAGCTGTGAAGAAGCCAACATCCCATTAAACTGGCCAGTTATTGTTGAAGCTGCTAAGGATTTTGCGGATAAGCTGAACTATCCAAAAAAGGGTCCGGGTGCATTCCATGGTAGTAACGGCTGGCAAGATCGCTTCTGGAAAAGATACGGATTGAAGATGTCGAGGATTCACGGTGAATCTGGCTCTACCAACGACGAACTCCTTGCATCTGAGATGCCGAACATATTAAAAACAATCGAGCAATACGAGGCCAAGGATGTTTACAACATGGATGAAACAGCCGTATTTTACTCGAACCCACCTTTGACGACTATCTCATCGCGACCGATTTCTGGAATTAAAGCTGATAAGTCAAAAATTACCGTCGCGTTGACAGTCAATATGGACGGATCCGACTTCAGAGAACCATTAATCATTGGTCATGCTGAAAAACCAGCATGTTTTAAAAAGAAGGATGGTGAGTAAATACAGTGATTATAATCTATCATATTTACCCGCATACAATGAAAGTATTGTTAATAACAAGGAAACCTCTTTTTTAGCCTCCCATTATGGTTTCTCGTTGTACTTCTCTAATTCCAATGCATGGATGACGAAAAATATATTCAAGGTTTACCTTCGTCGCTTTGACAGAGCCATGAAATATCAAAATCGAAACGTTCTTCTGATTCTTGACAATTTCTCTGGTCATCAATGTGATTACGAGCCTACCAATGTGAAGCTCCTCTTCTTGCCACCAAACACGACCTCAAGAGCACAGCCGTCGGATGCCGGAATCATAAAAAGTTTCAAAGGATACTTTAAGTAAGAGTTTTTCTCTTTTTGAACGTGCCTCCACCTTGTAATATTATCAATTGATGGTAAACAAACAACTTATTTATTCTTACATTACTTTTGCTACAGACGATTGCAGTATGAGCGAGTTTACATAGAAACCCAGAGGCGTGGTAATCGTCAGTTGGTCACCCAAGGCGGAAACATTTTCAAGGTTGATATTCTCAAGGCTATGAGATGGTCCAAGGCTGCCTGGAACTCTGTTAAACCAGAGACTGTGCGTATTTGTTTTCACAAAGCGTTGCAAGTGCCGGCTTTTTTGGTAGTACAGCTACAAAACAATGACGAGGGTCAACAGCAACAAGAAGAGGAACGAGATCTTGCAGACCAGATAATAGGCCATTTGGAAGTAATATATGGTATCCCAGGGGCACGGTATATCAATGCTGCAGATTTTGATCCTGTAGAGGAACGGAAAGCAGTACACCCAGTATTGCAAAAAGATACCATTGTTGCCGCAGTCCAATCTGCTCAAGACCAGGAAGAAGAAACAATAGAATCGCAACAAGAAGCCACAGTCCACCCGACAGAAGAGTGAACGCTCAGAGAAAAGCTCTTCCATTTAGATATGGTTAGCTGTTTTTTAGAGGAAGGCTCCCTCAAAGAAAGGCTTAGACAAGTGAGAGACCACTTGCGCCGACAACAAATAAATGGGACACAGAGCACCTTAACCTCTTTTTTTAGAGCATAACAATAGGCATACATGGTCATAGACGTAGATATACACCTCATATTCGCAAATTGTATTAAAAATATTCATACATCTTTATATGAATACCATCCACATGATGTAGCAAAATATAGATACTTCACCCCCATATAGAGTTCAAGGGTAAAAGATATATTGAAAATGAAAAATAACAAGGTATTGAAAAAATTTATCAATGATTTTGGGTCATTCCCTGGAAATTTCTTGAAAAAGCCCGTGTATTGAAACGAACGGGGTTGAAAAATTCGGGGGTCCACTGTACGTTTTATGCTATAGCTCTATAGCAGACATATTGACAACTAATTATGTTTCCCAACAAGAAGATTGACTACTTAAATATAAGTACCTCATACATATTATATGTATACACGGGTCACGACGGGTCAACGGGTCGGGTCAAGGGTTGGACGGGTCGACCCGCAGGTTAGAAAAGCATCAACCCGACCCGTTGACCCGTCCTCAACCCGCGGGTTGGTTTTGACCCGCGGGTCAGATTGCGACCCCTACTGCAAAGTGATCGATCGTGAAAGGTCCCCAAGTCTGGTGAATTTGTTTGGATTATCTACGCCTATTTTCCATTGATTTTTGAAATACTGTCGACGAGACTCCGAATCGGCTATACTCCTTGGATATGTTGGGCTTGAATCATGATCTTGTTCTCCAGTCACTGCGTTCACACTTCGGATGCCAGTTTCAAGAGAGGGAGGGAGCGAGTTCCACCTTGCTTGTTGGTGTAGGCCATGCTGGGCGTATTGTCTATCCTCATCACCGTCGAGTTCTCCGTTAGATGGAAAGCTTTTAAAGCTACATGAGCTGCCTTAAGCTCCCGCCAATTGATGAATTGGGCAGCTTCCTCCTCTGTCCAATAACCATGAGCTCGAAGATGGTTCCAACTGCAACTCCACCCGTATTGCTGGCATCGACAAACATTGTTTGTGAGGATGTCGAAGGGAGAAGTGAGTGTCTGTTCCATTTGCTGATGTTCGTGTATGTATCACCATTGAAGTTCCCACAGACTCGTTTGATCGAGAGGGCGAGGAAGATCTCAATCCGCATCTGACTTACTGTTTCTTGTAGTATCGCAAAAGTCGTCGACTGAATAATCATCGTTAAGCTGTGAATGATCCTGGGGGATTGACGATGTCGTTTGTCCAGTACTTGCTTGATCGATTGACGAATATCGCGAGGCTTGGCTGGCGCTAGTAGAGCTGTCATTGAGCAGGTGTTCTATACAGTACAGAACCGAGATGTTCCAATTGTTGAGTTGGGGTTAGAACTGAACTCGTATGATTGACTACCCAACCGAGATGTTGTAAGAGGGAGACAACCTGATAAGGCTGTTCCATCGCAATTACTTGCACTCGGCCATAGAAGCCAATCGTCTAAGTATATTGAGATCCCAATTCCTAGAGAGCGCAAGTGTTCTGATATAGGCCTGCAAACTTTGGTGAAGACAAAGGGACCTGTGGACAAGCCAAAGGCGGTCGTACAATACTGGTAAGCGTGGCCTTTCCAAATTAGGCAGGCGTAAGGAACCTTCTCGAAGTTGGGTGAAGACCGTGGGTTGGACAAGTCGATTAAGATTAGATAATCGGTGGGTTGATCATTAGAGCCACTTCCCAATTGGTCTCCATCTTGAAATGAGAGGCATCCAGATATTGATTCAGATGTTTGAGGTTGAAGACTGGTCAAACGCCGCCATTTTTCTTGGGATGACAAACATTGAGCTGTAAAAGCCTGGTGTTTGACGAACTTCCGTGCCGGAGACGGGTTCGATTGCTTGCTTGGACAGTAAATCTTGGTTTGCTTGATTTATCAATGGAGTCTGTTCCGGGCCAAAAGGCTAGATGGGGTTGGCGTTATTGTCGTTGGTGGTGGTGTGTGAAATTGATTTTTGTAGCCGTGTTCGATGGTGGTGTCGACGAATGAGTTGATTGAATTTTGAGTCCAATTTGTATAAACTTGCTCTGGAACCACCATGTTGAGAGGGTGTCCTGATAAAAAAAAACTGCTGGTCTGGAAGATTCGAGAAAGGACCAGAAAATTGAGAGTAGTCATTGTTAGCCCGATGACGTTGACGTTTATTAATAGTCGACTCTCGAGCAGCCTTGCGTGCTACGGTTTGTTGAATCAATGTGTTTTGGATCTCATTGAGAGGGAGGGTGTAATTGACTTCGTTACCAGATTTTGACGAAAAGAAAGGATTAATGGCACGAAGAGCGATGTTGGTACGAGGCATGTGTCATAAAGGCACCGGCACGCAATAAGAGTTTGCGGATATAACGAGGCATTGTACAATAGCATTCCAAATCAGGGCTGCCTGCTTCAGATGTTAAGAATTCATGACTGAAAATATCTTGAGGGCGGTAAACAGCTGCCATTGATATTGCAGCTGCTTCAAGGAGTTGTCCACATAGCTCTGACCTTTGTTTATTGCACGTTCAGCTGTTAGGATAGTAGCCGGGGCCTTGTAGTCCACATGGGCCATGTGAGGGTAGGACCCGATGATGGTTTCACGTTCCGAGTCTGAGAGTAGCGCCGAAGTGTGTAATGGAGCATCCATATTCAGTAAGCCCTTCAGAAAGAGACCAGTCGTAATGGGGTCGAGTATACCCATTGAGTGTAAAGAAGGGTAGCAGTGCCATCCACTGACTGCATAGAGATAGTAGTAGCACCTTGGAGTTGTTCCTGAAGAGCAGCAATTTGGTGTTCCATCATGTGTAATTGTTTTTCCAGGGGGGGTGGGAACATTAAAAGTGAGAATGTAAGTGATAGATAGAATAGAGATGTACAGTAGTAAGCTGGTAATAACTGAATGAAAATGAAGATTAATGTTATAATAATTTGATTTATTGCCTTAATATACGCTACGAAATGAGATTCTAGCATAATCACATCTCCTATATATTTTGTTCTGACGGTCTCAAGAAATTCTTACGAGGAATTTCTTTCGACCTAGAATTAGACATACTGCGTGCAATAGCCTGCCTTCGAATGCACGCTCGCCTCCACACCGCACCGCCCCAAACCACAGACCCATTGTCCTCTTTCCTCAATCAGCTCCCGCAATCGAAACCAACTCCAGTCCGCCGCATCCAACAGCTGCAAACGGCATGGCTAGTTGTGTGCATAATATTAGCAAAACTCGACGCCCATCAACTCCCTGGCCCTCAACTGGATCAATCCTCTACCTGCAGCAAGCTGGGTAAGCAGCCTTATTCTTTCTATTACATGTCTACGCCTAACCCAACAACATACTCCCAAGCGACTTCCCCATGACCTTTTAGCTGTCTCACTCACAGGGTTTTCATCTCCCTATTCTTCTTTGACCTGTCTCGAACAAGCATGTCTTCCCCTGGACGCTATGTTCAAATTAAGACGTATTATAAAGTCCAAACTTTTAACCGTATTCAAACTTCTTGTTTTATTAAAGGTGAAGCACTTTTTCGTGCCCGATGTTGTGTCGGGTGGAGGAATTATCTTTTCTTTCCGTGCGTAGCAGCACTTTTCGTCACCATCGTCTCGCAACGATTGTCCATCCAAGATAATTTTGATTCCGCATTAGCAGTCACAGCATTCAATATTCTTAATAACCATCCCAACCGAAATATGCAACCTCTTTGGTTCTACAGCAATGAATCCTGCCCTGCATAGGAAATCAGAAACGGTTTCCAAGTGAGAACTTCCGTTGTCGGGTGGGACTTCATTGTCACATCTTACTGTACGGAGTGGGAAGTATTACATTTGACCGTGGTTTCTTTTGTTAAAGAGCCCCTCGGTGTAATGTGCAAACGTGTCTACGGGATTTACTACGACATATACGCCCTGCATAGGAAATCAGAAATGGTTTCCAAGTGAGAACTTCCGTTGTCGGGTGGGACTTCATTGTCACATCTTACTGTACGGAGTGGGAAGTATTACATTTTGACCGTGGTTTCTTTTGCAAAGGAGCCCCTTGGTGTAATGCGCAAAATGTGTAGTAAATCCTGTGGGGGACTATGATAAAGATAAGTCCAATTTTTTTTTGTTTTGTTCAATCAAATTCAGCAAACTTTTTAATGGTTACTAACTATTACGTATAGAGTACAGGTTTATAGAAGAATGTTTGGGTCACAAGGCATTTATTCCCACCACACCATAATCTCCAACCACGTCATTCCAAAAGGGTTCAAGATCAACTGCTCTAGTCGACTTTGCCTTGGTATCCTTGTACTAGATTGGTCAACTTTTTTAATTTTAATATCATTTTATTTATATAGTATCAACCACATGCATGGCCTTGAAGACGTTGTACCGTTGTTTTTTTGACCGTGTAGTTTTTGTCTTTGTACCCAAAAGAATTTATTATTGAAAAGAGTTATTCAGGCAAACATTGCCACCAACAAAGAAGGCTCACTCTTGACCATTGTTACAAGCTCCTTCATAATCAGCCAAAGTTTTTGGTCCGTTACATAGAGAAGTCAACTGGCAACAGTGTCCCTGCCGAAGGAGGTCAAGCTCGTCCAATTGGTCGCAAGCAAGCCAAAGAAGCGAGAGCAAGAAGAGGCTTTTTATAAGCGTAAACGCCAAGAAAGCTACGCCGAAGCCTTGGCTATCCAACGGGAGCAATGTCGAGTCGACATGGAACGAGGGCTTGCCGACAACCACTTGTTGAGTATGAATTTGGAAGGCATGGATGAGCTCCCTCGTCCCTATTTTATGAAACGCAAGAGACAGGCACTTGAGAGACTGGAAAAAGCTGAAGCCCATGCTTGTGTTCCTCAAGAGGGACAAGATGGATCTGATATCGAAACAGAAGCAGAAGCTATTCATTGATAAATGTTTGTACAAAAAAACTCATTTGCTTAAAGTCAAAGTACAGTTTTGTTCATAATGTTTTTTATAGAAAGAAATAGACTTTTTAAGCACTGTTGCCATGATGAGCCCATAAATGTTCAATGAGATCATTTTTCAATTGATGGTTGATTTTAAGATTGTTATTTTTTAAATTTTTTTATTATGTAATGGAATTTTATCCAAATCTCTAGCATGTCTACCACATCTCCAATTTACATAATCTTTATCATCCTTTAATTTAACTTTCCATTTAGCAGGTGAACAGTTTCATCTCTGATCTCACTGTAGTGTTGAAAAAATTCCCTCATCGTATTAGGATTCCTCTCAACTACTAATGATGGTACAGGCCCTTCACATCTCACTTCCTCGTGCTCTTCATCTTCATCCGGGTCTTTGCGGCCACTTTCGTTATCATATTATGCATGATAATACATGCCTTCATAATATTGGCCAGCTTGTTGAGATCCCAAAGCTTTGCTGGAAGTTGGATCACTGCAAATCTTGCTTGTAGGATACCTGAAGGATACACTAGGGGGTTTCACGCTTGGGAATTTCTGCTTCTGGGTTGTGTGAGAAGTAGTCAGTATAAAGTCTATCATGACCTCCGACGCGATTACAGTTGATAGTTCTGCGACCAGGGACAGAACCTCCTCTACCTTTTGGTCTCTTTTCGTTTTCGAAATCTTGTTCGATCACTTCAATGAGACGCGTCAATAAACGTTGGCGAGTGCGTCGTTTGGCATCTTCTTCGAGCATTCTCTTTAGTTGCTTCTCCATGTGACTTTAGAGAAGAAAATAAAAAATACAAGTGGGAGAGTCAAAAAAAGTTTTACAGTAAAGTTTTATTTTGGAACCGCTGGGAAAATATACGAATTCTATGGTCCCCCCTCATGATAACTGACTGTAATATTCCATAAACCAAAAGAGACAGAATAAGTCAACGAGACCCGAAAGGAATTGAAACTGGTTTATTATGATAACAGAAGTTCTCACTATTTATGAGAAATGGCTTATCCTTGGCAACCACCACAGCGTGTTCATTGAACGGATGAATTGATGTTATGAATCAATCTTATAGGAATAAGTAATGTATGATGCCTGAGTAAAAGGACACTTGAGTAAATGCCTCAGATAGTAGCTAATGTGAGTTACGTGATCCAACTAATGACAACTTTTTCCTGAGCATAGCTAATAGGTGTTTCACCAAGATGTGTATGAATAAGGAAATGTCCGCACAAGTGAGGTTATGAGGGTGATAACAGCAATCGTTAATGACAGATGAAGGAATATGTGTTATTGATCATGTTGGATACAACACTGACTCCAAATCTAGGATAGAATTTGGAAACAACCGATGGGGATGCTCTTATAGCTAGTTATTTTGACAAGGCCATCCAAATAAAAAGAAGGGGAGACTGATGGGTAGACAAAAATTCGTACGCATATGCTGTTCAGTTCCTTTAGAAGAAACTCCTACTTGTGAGACGGCAATCGGATTGGCTATATGAGGTTTCCATGTTTGAAAACCCGCTCAGAAAAGTCGTACGCGTACCTGTAGCACTTCCCTTGCTGGATTTTTACAGTGGACCCCGTTAGTGTCCACTGTCAAATTCAGCGGAAAGTGTTTACACTGACGGAATTGACGTTTGGCGAGGATGGACTAATTAGGTACAAAGTTTAACCGGATAATAAAGATATTGAACCTACACGTCCTGACACGCTACGCAGTCACCCCTGACCAAATATTTTCTCCTTTGATTGGATATGTTTGACTTCAACATACAGTAGAAGTTGACATTTTTCTCTGCTAAAACGAGAAAAACGTTGACCTCAAGGGGTTGACATTAATGGGGGTTCACTGTATTACTCAATAGATATTTCTTGTGGTTCATTTGTATGGACATCTTCTCTCCCAATCCAATCTTCTTTTCTACATCCTTCTTCAGATCCAATATGACAGATTGTGATTAATTTATTTGTCACTACGTAAAAAACCAATTGATCCTTTGTATATATGAAATACACAGTACATAGTATAATTTTACAGCAATGATAAAAAGATGGTACATATCATACTGTTGGCTTTTGTTACTTAATAAAAAGTGTACTTGTTTAAAAAATGATGGTGAATGTCACATGTCTCATTGTAATAGTGCTCATGTGCATATCAGTTTCGAATCGTTTCGCGTTGTCGAGGTAGCTATGCGTATCTTCTGTTTGTTTGACGAACTATTTACAAATGTCGAGTGACCTTCGAGCGGCTATAGATTCTTTGTTTTTGAAAGTTTTGGCGATGACTGCTCCGGCGGCGACTCTAGTGCCAGCCACAAAGGGGATGCTCATGTTAGTACGCATCGATCTTACATGAATGTTTCAATAATCAGGAGTCATTTATTGTCTAGCATTACCTGTGTTTGGTTGTTCAGTTTTATCACTTTTATTCTCTCGAGCACGCTTTTTGACTAGTGGTAGTGATGCTGATGGCGACTCGATGAAAGAATTGGCTGTGGTATTACATATCAAATCAGGATGAGCATCGTACAATGACCTTTTCTTTTTCAACCCAAATAAACCCGTCCCAGACTTACGTTCATATACAGTTATAAGGGGTTATAAGGATAAATGATAAAAAACATGGTATGGTAATTTGCATGATGATGGTGACTAAGGCTATTTGCAGTGTAATTATAAGTCGTCGTCGTCGTCGTCGTCATTTTCTCCATGTTCGCCGTCGCTATTGTCGAGATCGAAGACAGCTCGGGTACGATTATTTTTTGGTGTGAAAAAAATGAAAGGGGGTTGTTCTTCTCTGAGATCGAACAAATAGACCTTGGCTTCTTTTTTTCTTCGTTCTGCTTCGGATTGGGCGTGTGGAAGGAGACTAACGATGTGCTCTAGATTGTTCTGTATTTCAAAAAAAGGTGGCATTAATATATCCCATCGACCTGAATACTTGATATATCTATATATATAATTACCTTCCAAGTATATAGTAGCTGAATGGACTTTTTGAATTTTGAGTTGATTTCATGGATCGAGCAAGGAATGTATAAGCTGTCAATCTTGGTCACAACTTGAATATCGTCCTTCTTGATGATTGCTTTTAGTACACCGTCACGGCCTATAACAAGGTATTTTCGGGTCAACCTTATACCAACCTTACGGATATCATTCTCATGCAACTTTTTTGATACTTACCTACCCAGTCCATATACATTATACTAAGTGTTGTGGCGTCATAATCATCTTCATCAAAAGGCATTGTGGTCAACTGGTTCAAGATACAAGCATTGGTATGGATATTTTTACATTCTTGTTTACGGATGGAGGCAGGAGTGGCATCATCCGCCTTCCATTCACAGCTTGATATGTTTTGTCCATGTGCCAACACCAGCATGTCTACTTTTCTGCCTATGACATTATGCGTTGTACTGATGACCCCTCCAATGGAATAATTCAGTTCATTGTTTCTCTAACGGCCTTGCTCTCGATACATGCTTGTTCTCCCCTGCATGATATAATTTGACAATGATCAGCAAATGATCCTTGCAAGGCAATATGCAATTTCAAAATTGTTGATACCTACAGACGGAAATGGTACTTTTTGCCGCGAAAGATGATCTTCAAGATACTGTAACAATCTTCCACACAGTCAAGTTCACTCTCAGAAGTAGATGAACGATATAAACAATTTTTGATCCTATATAATTGATAGAGTATGAGATTGATGTAAGAGTTGTATCAATCTATGTCAGAAATAATAAAAAAAGAGACTTACGATGCTTCCAAAACGTCGATTATTTGTAGAAAAGGTGAGTCGGTTTTTTTTCTGATTTCTACCACCTTTTGTTCTGCAAGGTAGATCAATGCTTGTTGGGTTTCGTAGACATGATCATCAACACCGTCGGTCTTGGCTTTTCCTTTCAAAACCTATAAAGGATATAGGGGTGTCAATATTTGTCTCCTTCTCCAATATCCAATTTATTACCACCTTCTTTAATTCTTTTAGTAGCTAGTGCTTTCATAGAAAATGGAGCAGGTACAATAACTGAACATGTATTTCAGCTAAAACTAAGATTCTTTCTATTAATTTAGGATCTTCTTTTTTAATTTGACTCATAATTTTTCGAGTTTCTTCATTATGCATATAACCTTGACTAGAATGAGCAAATTTAAAAATATTATAAAAAGGTTTTAATAAATTAATAGAATTAATTTTGAAGTTTCCATCTGGTGGAGGACTACCAGATCTTTCAATAGAGTGATAATACATTCTTTCACACATTTCTCTCATTTTTTTTCTTTCTTCATAGTTATGATTCATCATCTCACCTAATCCATAAGTAGCAAAACCACCAATAGTACCAACAACACATAAAAATTTAGGAGTTGGATACGTTTTTAATTTTAATATGTAATAGAAATGTGAAAAAGCCAACAACATGGGGACAATCAGTAGTGGTTAAAAATTATTCTAACATGAATAATTTTGAAGCTATTCAGAGACTAAATAATCTTTTAATTTCAGCTACTTGTTCATCTCCCGCGGCTTGGTTTACTGATTCCTATAAATAAGATAATTCATTCAGGTATTATAAATAATATTAGATATAAACTTGTATATAACTATATGTAAAAAAAAGAATTTCCCCTCTCCCCTGGTACCTTGAAAATGGACTTTCTCTTAACCATTTATTAAAATGGTTATCACATATAGTCTCTGAGGAATTATTTTCCTGCTGATAACTCACTTTATACACTTAAAATTATTACTTCCCCCTTCGGGGGAAACCCGTTATTTCATTAAGAGATTGGAATAATTTTGTATTATAGGACATCTTCTATTAAATAGGGAAGGGTGCTTACGATTTCAATCCCAGCTAAAATCCAGATTTGGAAATCTCACTTTGTAACGGCCATGCTTTTTTAACGTTACACGTTCCTGAGAGACTTGGGTAAACTTCAACTTTGTGCCGTCTTCCTAGACTATTACCCCATTACATTTCTCAATATGAGTTCCCAAGAGGTGTGCTATTTGATATCATCTGCCATCAACGACATTTGAGGTCTTTCTGTAAAAATCGTTGAGCATTTTCCACTGTTAGCCGGGATTCTGACAGACTGCTCTAGATGAGCTACAAATTTACTAACTACTTTTTTTCTGCACATTTCTCGACAAAGCAGTCGACCGATCATGTCTGTCACTGTGGCTTGGATCGCAATGAGCCATGTCCAGTGCATTCTTGCAGTGTTTCAGTAGAATAGGCAACGCATATTTTAACCATGTGTATTTGAATATTACTGCTGCAGCTGTTTGCTAATAAAGCTACAGATAGTTCGTTTTTGTAAAAACTTCTGCGCCTACGTTCTGTATCTGTGGCTCGAGCACCCATCGTAGGCGGTAGGCGTAATCATAGAGAATGCCCACTTAACCCTATCAACTGCGGTACTGTGTACTTACTAATTTTTTGGTGATAATGCAATTTTGCTGAAAAGATTACATACAAACCTCCTCCAATACTCGCTATAGCTACTACCTTGCCACGATCACCTGTGCATATGATCAACAGTTCGCCTCCACCAACTTCTCCTGCTGTCGCTGCCCCACCTTTTAGAGCTTCGGGTTTAGAGCGGGGCAGCGCCCTAACGGGAGGGTCAGCGGGAGGGAACGTCCTGCAAATATAATTATCAATGTCATATTAGCAAAAGCATCTAGACCGTAACAGATAATAGAATTTCGGGTCTTTGCTTTGGTAAGTGAGTAGGGCGATCAAAGCGAGCTTTGTTTAGGGTGTACGGTCACATCTTTAGTAGGTAGAGCGAACAAAGCGTGCTTATTTTAGGGTGTAACAATCACATTTTTAGTAAGTATGATAGAGCGAACACAACGGCCCAGGTTTAGGGTGCAACAATCACACCTTTCATGATGTCCCAGAATTTCCACCTCAACAATTGTCCAATACCCACCTCTAAGATTCTGACCTGTAAATTTTACGAAGAAACTGAACACGATCTGTTCAGTTGCAAGGATTGCCCAGGTATTGGACATGAATCGTCTGAGAGTTCAGAGTGCATTAACTCAAGTAGCTGACACAGTAATCAGCTACATAATCTTAATCTGAAAGAGGTATTGCCTTTAGGCATTTTTAGTGCAGTGACGACAATGACTTCAAGACCAAAATTATAAAAAACACCATTCTCACTCCTGTCAAGCAGAACAAATTTTCAGCATTGTTTGAAGGTAAAAGGGGGGTGGTAGGGGGCATTGCCCCCACCTGGGGTCTGGGGCAGAGCCCCAGTAAACTGGTCCCTGGAGGACAGATGCTAACACGCAGCGAAGCGGAGGGGCTCACATCGTCCGGAAGCGAAGCGGAGGGACCAGTTTATAATTTTCAAAGACATCTTTACCTCTATCAAATTGATACTCATATAAAACATTGATTTCATAATTAAATTCTTTAGATTGTTTTAATTCTTCAGAAAAATACCATCCTTTCCATGATCCTAAAGGACAATACATTTTTTCATTATCTCTGTAAGGTAAAGTAGGAATAAATAAATTATCTGTTGTTTTAATTTCAGCATAAACAAACCAAAGTAATCATCTAAATTTGTATTACTACTAAATCTTGGTTTTCCAATAGGCATATCATTTAACATTGAGAAAGGATATAATATTAAATTTTGTGTTAATCTAATGTTATCTCAAAAACATCTTACTGAACAAGGACGAGATAATATTGAAATAATTAAAGCAGGAATGAATAGAAAACGAACATTATATAACTAGGATCATTTAGAAAAATGGTATGATTTATTTTATGATTCAGATGATGATTTAGAATCTGATTCTGAATCTGAGGATTCAATTATGGCGGTATAATCTGGAGCTATTTTCAATCTCATTGAGCAGTATTGTTATAACCAAATGATTAATGAGATTTTTGATCCTTAACTTAAGATATTGTTGTTTATGAGTGGTCTAAAGGAGCTTTAAAATTTACTAAAGATCCTTCACTTTCAAAAAATCAACCTATAAATATTACTTTTTAAATAAGGTCATAGTACTTAGTATTATATGGCCCCCTTAATCCACTCAATTACAATATTGTCTGTGTTATAATATATAAGTGGACAAAATATAGATAACAACTAATAGATAATAACTAAATAAACTATTACCTAAATTTTTACATAAACTAGGGAATAATAAATTTAAATAATGTTAATTAGTCATTATTTATTTAATGAATAGAATAATAACTTACTTAATATGACAAACATTGATTTATATACTTATTTAAACGAATTAAAACCTGAGTACATTTATTTAAACAGTTCAACTGAAAAATTAAAAATATTAAAAGAATTAAAATATATTTCTGGAATTTATCTATGGTACAATCCAGGTCAAGGTCAGCGATGCAGCTATTGGCCTAGGCTAAATCACATCCATCCAAATCCATAACTCAACACTTACCTTGATTGTATGATCAAATATGGTATTGGTGCTAGAGTCGAATTCATGAATATGGTGTGGTAGTGTATCCAGATTATCCCAATCATCTGCTTTGAAGCAACGTTTCATGTACGTTGACACCCAATCGTGAGCCTTGTCAACGATTCCGCATAAAGAGATACTATTCGTAAAAAGCATGCATATCCAAACGCTTCAGTGTTAGGGTAGATATAGCATATATATAGAAAAAAACTCACCGAAGTATCTGCTCTAATATTTCATCTTGAAGGGGCCAATTCTGCAACAGACACAAAGACAAAGCATTCAGACGATCCATGTTTGTCTCCACTTTCTTTAGTAATATTTGATCCTTTTGTTCTGCCTTTGCTTTCAGAGGTATTTTATTCATCTATTATCAAATAGTGTTGTTAATAAGAATCCTTAACGATGTAGATCACGAAAAAGAATAATTAGTTAAGGGTTTAACTTACCAAATCGAATGCTTTTTGGAAAAGTTGCTATCGTATCTTCATCATAATGCAATCTTGATCCGCCTTTTCTTCATCATTTTCACCGTTTGCGCTCTGTATTCTCTTTTGAAAAACTAGCAACGAAGGTATTCTAGCGAAATGCATGCACACCATAGCTAGTGCTTATACAGTATGTAGTTAATAGGACTTGACGTATACGTATTGTAACAGTGCATATTTTATTCGGTGTAAGTAGTTTCAATCAATTGCTCCATAGTGTTGGGATACAGTAGTAGGGTGATAAACGTAGGTTGAAAGAAGTTGAAGATTTAATATAATATATATATATATATATATATATTAAAGTATACTGTTATTGAGGAGCCTTTTCATACTTTATTGAAATTACCGCGCATAAACACATCCGTGTAGAGACATCCTAGAAAGTTTGAAAAGCATTAAGGAATATTTTTCATGTACCCTTTAAGGTTCTCTTCTGTTGATATATCGACTGATCTGTAGTAGCAATAACAAGTGAACATCCTTGCGGACAACCCCCACTAGTATATATTTATAGGATGAGTGTAAACTGATGAGGATCAAAAATAGAAGAGAGTGTCCGTATCAAAAGCCAATGTGAAAACAGAAATTTAGGAATAGCCAACACCACATACGACTGTTCGAGTGGGACAACACCAAGATTCACATTATTGTATTGTAAGGCGGAAAAACAGAGTGTTTGGAAACGAATCTATGCGTACGCCTCTCACTTACGCTTAGAGTACTGATGTGTATAGACTTAAATTGTCTCAGAATAACCGTCTGTTTTATTGTGTCAGTGGTAGAATTGGGGCCGAAACAACAGATATAATATGCACCAATGCTACTGATTGACGCTTTACAGTGTAAAAAGTAGACAAGCGAAATACACAGGGAAGAAAGATATCATAGGAGATTCCTCTAATAGAGGTATAGCGATGGGTACACAAAAGCACCAAAGTACTAAGTTGATCTAGTGACTACTATGATAATGCCAAATTCGCTGTCAACTCATCAGTATGCACTAACGAGGAGATGATGGTTAATCGTGCAAGAAGTGAATTGAAGTTTACACTCAGAGGGCGCACAAGAAGGTGGAGGTACTACTAGCCAGGGGAGGTGTGTTTTGATAACAAATACATAGAGAAAGCTATATGAGCTACGCATGGGGGTTCTGCAGCAGCATGTGAGGTAAAGTAACGATGGCAACGATTGCTATGTTGTAAGGAGGTGATTATGACACATCCGGTCCTTCAGTTTATCCGTGCGAGTATAGCGGTACCTGCAAAGCGCTTCCTTGTCGACCATGAGTCTTTGACGTGTGATCACATTACAGTAGGTCTCTCAACACCTTCCCGCTCACGGTCAAACCAGAGTTCATGTGTATCATCGCCACTACCATACTCCACATATGGAACTCCCATTGGCATCAAGTGTTTCAAGGATCAACCTTCTGGCCCGACGGTGTAGCAGCCCGCATTACATTGAAATCAGTACTTTTTCATAGTGCGTTTGTCAACCCTCTTTTCTGACATTATAAATACCGACAACAACGGTATTTCAATAAATCATCGTCTACACAAAAAAGGTACCTGCAAAAGGTGCGGAGCTCAGTCCCAAGGTGAAACCTGGGTGTGTAATGCAGACGAGGCACGAACCGGGAGACATGGAGATACTCGGTGTATGTGTGAACCTCCTCTTTTCTCTCTTAATGATATCCCATG